CAGTTTTAAAGTTGACCAAAGTTTCGATATTAAGTGAATGCCCTCATTTTGTTTAAATTTGCATGGTTTACAGTGGATTTTCTAGTCATATGTCATTAAAAGTGCAAAGTACATTTATAAAAATGAGATGTTTCTGACACTCAATATATATATATATATATATATTCCACAAAAAGGAAATTTGAGCAAAATCCCAAATTCTTTCTGAACATCTAATCAAGTCTTATAGTTTGGTTTTGTTGTACAAACATACACATTACTTACATTTCACCACTATGCGAGATTCATTATTGCTGCTTGGAAGAGCAAAGCAAATAAAAATGAAGAGCTGTGTATTCAGTGACACTTAGTCTACTGCAGCAGAAGTAGCAAATCAAAGAATAGATTAGGCCTCTACCTCATATTTGTTTTAATGAAATTCATGCTGTGGTGAGGAATATAAATTCATAAATAAAAGTCAAATAATTATCAAATGCCTTTTTAAATGGTAATGAGAATTCCTTTAATACCATTTTTACTTCCTCTATAGGTACTGAGAAATTTATTTCCATACCAACTTTGTGCAATCTTGGTTTTAATTGAAGATAGTTAAACAAACAACTTTCTGATATTTATGTTCAATATTTCCACTAAGAAAAATACTTTCAGCAATAAATTAATTTGCTAAAGTAGCTATGTGTATAGTATCGCGTCTTTTTATTATTATTAATTTGAGTACTTCTGTTGTGGGTAACCTGTGGAGTATAGGTGGAACATTAATTTCCCTCTTTGTGCAGTAGAAATTTATTTATCTATTTTAGATAGTGCAGAATAAATTAATGCAAGAAATGTGTAACTAGAAAGTTAAAAAACCCATGAAAACTAGGTAGATACTGTGGTATATAAGGGTTGTTTTGTTGCTTTCTCAATGCAAAGCTACAAAATCTGCACTCTGTCCACTGCGAGGGAACTAACCCTGGATTTTTAGCGTTGTAAGTTCGTAAATTTATAAACTTGCCTCTGGCTCATCCATCGGAGGACGTTATGTAAGGGGGCGCTAGTTCCACATTGTAATAAAAGCTTGTTTTTTTTCAGTGATTACGCAGAATAAAAATACTTTTAAAACACAGTTTTTAGGTTTGTACAAATATACGACAGCTAAAAAAAGTTAAACTTAAAACAATGATAACTCAAAATTGATTAAAAAGAAAGCTTAAGAAAAACTGCTGATGGAAGGCACGGTCTTTTGCTCGAATCGGGAAAGAAAATCACAAGGATGCTGAATTTACGTTTTTGAAACGCAACGTATTCAAATAAAGTGAAAAAGACAATCTTTAGAATGACTCAAGAATTACTGTCGCCGAAACTAGTGAAAAAAATGACACATCTACAACTTACTGCTACTTTGTATCAGTAATTGAAGAAAATACACCTTCTCATGTCAAAAATAATTCTTAGAAAACTAAGACTAAAAAAAAACAACAACACTAAAAATACACACACTCATATATATGATGTGTGTGTGGTTTAGATAAATAAATATTAGTTGATTCAAAGTTGCAGAAGTTGTTAGTAAAAGTGGGTCAAATTCAGCTACAGATATTTGATTTTTTTAGAAAATAAAAAAGGAAGGACATTCACAAATTAGTACGTGCCATGATGTGAGAGTAGAGAAGACTTGAAGCACCAAGACATAATTGATTCTGTATTGGATCGTACGTTATTCATCGTTTTGTTTTGATGGCAAGATTTATGGCATAGCTAACTTTACACTATCGTCAAACAGAAGAAAGGACTGAAAACATTTATCACTACTTTTAAGTCGACATGAAAAATCAGATCGTTCATAAGCATTTTAACAGTGGAAATAAAATGAGATCCTCTATTAAAAATGAACCATATAATTGACACAGAAAATCTGCACCTGATCAAACATGGAATAGGGCGCTGATAAGTTGTACTTGAAAGACTTGCTGGGTTGATAACTTTGTTCTTCATGGAAGTTTGTTGGATTTCGCGCTAAGCTACTCGAAGGTTAGTACTAGTGAACTAGTGGGAAGGCAGCTAGTGAACATCATCCACCAACAACTCTTGGGCTACAGTTTGCCAACGAATAATGGGATTGTCCGTTACTTTATAGCACTCCCCACCCACCCCCACGGCTGAAAGGGCGAGCAGGTTTGAAGAAGGGTTTCGATACCGTGACTCGCATGTTGCAAATCTAACGCCCTTACTGCCAGGCCATCATTGTGGAAGTCATAAGAAGAAATTCACATCTGGAAATTACCAGAAATTTTGTTGAATAAATATTTGTCTAAGTTTGATTCAGTCATTAAATATACCATAGAACATTTACCTTACAAGAAGCACAAAAGAGCTATCCGAGACAAGACAATCAGAATGACCTCATTTAGCTGCTGTTCAACAAGGTACAAATTAATATGTTGACTTCTGCTCGACTGTGTTTCAGGCTTAAACCACGCAGAACAGACGAAAATGATCATTCTGTTCGTCACAGTTACTAAATTTCAAAATTATGACTAACCTCGTAGTGTGAGATCAATCTTGGTATCAAGGAGATGCCAGACAGTGATTTTGGATGTTTTTCAAGCTGTTCCGCAGCTACACACACACACACAAGTATAGTTTAGCATGGTAGTTTTGATGAATTTATTCTTGGTTCACAGCCAATTTAACGTATATATATTTTTTATTTTTTCACAAAATTGTCGACCCAGCCAATGAATTATGGAAGAGATGTTGTATAACAACCGCAGAAACATAGCTCATTGTTTAATTTCCTGCATTTCTGACTTATCAACAATTAGCTCAAGGAACTTATAAAACATTGCATGGCTTAGCAGATAGCAAGAAATCTGATGTTATTCCAACAGAACTATGTGACGAATTGCAGGCCCTCTTACGGAGAGTGACAAAATGACTCAAAAATATTGTATGGGAATACATGTGCAAGAACTAGTTAACATTGTCATTTCCCAGCACCATTGTCGTAATGAGAATTCCGCTGACTTTGCCCATTACTGTTGATAATGGACAAATACATTTTTCGTATTCAAATTGCATAAATGACATCTATAATTACATAAACAAAACTTGTTGAACGGACAAAAATTTCAAACATAAAATTGGATTTTAAGAAGACAGAAGTGTGCGATTTTGCCCAATTGTGAGAAAGGGAATGAAATGCCCCCTCATTTTAGATTTTGAATTGAAAGGTAGGCACTTAGTAAACTTAGTTTGTAACATGCTTCCCTGTGGCTCAGCAGTAAGTTTGAGGGCTTATGACGATAACAAATCTGATTTTGATATCCGCAGTGGGCAGAACACAGATAGCCCATTGTTTAGCTTTGTGCATAATAACAACCAAACAAATAATATAACATTTACATAGGCTTTAATAAATAAGTGAATTTTATTTGTAGTCCTACGGTGTTATTACAAAGTTGAAAGTAAAATTGGAAGTGTTGGCGGCAAAATTGCTAGCGTTGACTTTGTGTTGCAAATGTTTAACATGATATCTACTCTAGCATAATTTACGAAGCTGTTAATATAAGGGGGGATGGAGTATTAAAAAGAAATGTTTAAATTAGACTACTTAACTCTTGGTAACGTGAATGAAAGTTTTAATTCCTCTTATTGGTGTTCAATTCCCATATTCGCAATTGTTCGTGTTCCACCTGTTATTTTACTATATATTTTGAACTTGTACAGCATTATGGTTATTTTTTAAATGCTCCCAAATTCAGTTGCAACATTTGATATTTTTTTACATTTGAGAATTAAATTTTTATTTGTGGAAGTGCTATTTTACTCGCTTTCATTTATGATATTTGAAAACTTACCAATGGTTGACATCCGATTTTTCGTGAAATCCCTACCTATAGCAAAACAAAATGAAGCTAAGTACGTTATTATAGACTGATGTCTACTAAAAAGCGACAGAGATGCCATCTTTGGGCAATGTGTTTTTTAACCGTTTCGAAGGTAATCAGATAACATGAAAATGCAAATACTGCAATTTATTAATAAGTCCTAGTTTATGTTTAACCTTTTGAATGTTTTTGTTGGGTGTAGGGCGTTTTTGTTTTGTCTGTATTTCTTAATACCTTCTGATCATAATACACCAAACGGAGAGAAATGCAACCTTTATGATAAATAGGAGCCTCCAAAAAGGATGGCCCCTACAGCCTTCCATGCAAATTAAAATTTTTCTTGTATTGTTTGTTTCTCAATTTTTTGTTATCCATAGAACCTTTTGAATGGATTTTGTTGTTGTTGTGTGTGAAATTGATAAATGAGTACTTTAGAAATATTTTGAATCTTACTGCATTACTCTAGGGTTCATACTTTGTACTGTATTGAGTACAAATGATACCCCACCCCCCCCACGTACTTTGAGTAGCACTTGAATATCATCCATATATCAAAATGTTTTATATATTTTCTACAAGTGTAAATTTAATATTTTACAACACACTAATGGACACATTAAATAGATCTCTTGGTACACTAAGCAAATTTTGACTGTTAATGACCAATTTCTCTAATGTCTGCCGCATGTATACACCATTATTTTGTTTGTTGATCCTGTATCAGATCACTTTTCTATATTATGAACGATTTTCTTATAGGTTTCTCTGTGTTTTGGAAATGGTTTATTTGCAATATAAAATATTGAAGCAATTTCATAATATGAATTAAGAATAAGATACCAAGCCTGTGTCATCTTTTGTAGTTACGCCACTGATTTAAGCTTGGGTGAGAATATGCATAAGGCAACCAAATTTCTAAGCTCTAAATTGAAGATACTTCTTTGTTCGATTTTTTAATTTACGCCTAATGGAAATGAACTGAAGTATGTAAGATATTACCATGGAGTTAAAACAGTTTGGTTTAGGTTTTGTGTTCACCAGAGTACTTTTATATTCTCTCTTTTTTTTTTCTTTTCTTTTTTTGCAGTGTAACAGGTGGTGAGTTGTTTGAAGACATCGTAGCGAGAGAATACTACAGTGAAGCTGATGCAAGGTAAATCTGTTTTTCGAAGTTTTAAAGTAATCTTGAATTAAAGAAATTGTGCTACATATGTGATAAAAATCCAGAAAAAATACAGTTATATGCAAATTATGTAAAAATTAGGCACTCTTGACACCCATTAAGTAAGGTAACAGGACACTTGAGCACAGCACCTTGCACAACTCAGTGTTAGCTGATATATTCTTCAATATATAAAGACATTCACTAGCTTTTTGTTAAAATATTTAAGTCATGTATCTATTTATAGAGCTACTGTTTGTTAAAGCATGCAATAGAAAGGGGAATTTTTTTTGTGTATTTAACTAATCACTAAGATATGAGGGAGCCAAGTACAGAAGTATTTACAAAATGAAAATATATTGCAATCTCTAAAGAAAAAAATAATAAATCACTTCAAAACATCATTGCATGAGACTATGCTAACTGTGAATCTGTTTCATAATGTTAATGCATTTATAAGCCGCACACAATATACTAATATTATATACTACGTATGTTTATCTACTTGCTATACGTGTAAGTAATACTGCAATGTAACTCTTGAGTATAGTCATTGATGAGCCAGCAAAACAAGAAACTGAAAGCAAACTTCTTTTCTTTCGATCTGTTTAATTAAGACAGACAAAAAAAAAAACTTCGATGCAAACACAAATATCAGCCAGCAAAATGACAAATTAAAAGCAAAACCATTTTAGTTCAATATCTTTAACCACAAATTGTTATTTGCAATTATAAAAAGGCTTCACACCAAACTGCATTAGTTTAATTAATAGTATGCAGTCAATCCATTTACTAATGACTTTTTCGGAAACACGAGATCGACATTCTAATCTATATTACCTCCCTCCGTACAGAGTATAAATACATAATATTTTTAATGCTTAATTTTGTGTAAGCTGTAAATCCTCTCTCTCCGTGTAGTATCTATATAAATATAATATTACTGTCTGTTGTATGTCCATGTAACTACTTCGCAGGGTGTGGATGGATCTTCACTAAAATTGATATGGAGGTTCATTGGGTCTATGGGGAGATACATACAAATTTTCAGTTTTATGGTTTTAATGGGAGTTTTCGCGTTTTTTACCACTACTTCGCCCCTGTTGATGGATCTTCACCAAATTTGGCATGAAGGTTTGTTGGGTCCATGCGGAGATGCATGTAAACTTGCGGTTTCACATTTTGTGTTTTACAGTTTTTTGGGGCATTTTTTTACAATTACATATAAGGGAAGCAATTTTTCATGTCCCAAGATAATCTTTCATGAATTATGAATTTACATAACTTCTATCCAGGGGAGGGGTACTCCAGCTAGTTTATTATTATTTGCACATAAAAAAGTGTGGAGAAACTACTCATGTTGATTATATTTGACACCAGAAGGTGTTATACTCAAGTTTAGTAAAGGCCATGTAAATGTGCAAAATTGTTAGTTGTAGGTAGGTTTGATCCCATTATAACTTTATCATTGGTACAATAAAAAAAAGTCCCTTCAACACATTACAAGAACATATCTCACTTTTATCACATTGATAAATAAGTTATTGTAAGTTTAAACTTCTTAAAGTTCATCTTGCCTCATTATTCAGATTAACTGTATGTGATCACACACAAGATAGCCAAAATGAAACACTATCTATCGTGTACCATTAAAAAATCCCTATTTTTCGGCTTTAAATGGAAATTTCAGTTCTTACTGCTAAACTTTGGCTTAATGATTAGGGGTGTCATCTCGCAATCTGCAGGTCGCGGGATCAAATCCAGTGGCCAAACATGCTTGCCCTTTCAGTCGTGGTAGTGTAAAAATGTGACAGTCAATTCCATTATTCATTAGTAAAGAGTAACCAAAGAGTTGCATTTTCTCTAGTCTGTTATATTGAAACTAGCTGTGTACCCGTCCTTTGTACGGATTGTGTTTATAAATAATACATTAATTTAACAATTAACAAACAAATTACTTGTACATTATTTACATTACATTTTACATTTTTTATTGTACATTATTATAACAATTAAATATAAGTTAACAAAAGATACTGTGGACCATGTGTTAACTACGTCACTTAGAAAAAACGGAAAATGTCAAATTCTGATGAGTTGTACTTGTGTGTTTGTAGTGTATCACACATCTGTGAAAAAATTAGTTTTATTTATCGAAGAGCCTCTTGATAGACGACATTGGAAGTACGTCCACCTGGGGCATGGATGAATAGGCTGCAAGAAGATCTGACTCTTGAGCAGGCTACATATAGTTTTTAAACTCCAAGGATAGTGTTCATAAAAAGGAAAAAAATATAAGAAAGAATGCAGTTCGCGAGTCAAGCGCAAAGAGCAATGCCGAGTGAACGGGCGAGTGACCCTTAGCAAAGAAATACTTCTTTTAAAGAAATATAACCTTAAAAGCAATAAATAATGCCAAAACATAAACAAAATTTGGCACAGACAGCTGGAGTGATGCAACAAATTTTTGCAGGAGTTGTTTTCTTTCCAACATAGAGCTCCAACATAGAGATAATAAACATTGTTTTGAAAATTTTACATTGTATTTACTGTTACTATGGTAATCATTAAAACAAAAAAATGTCCATAAAAATAACATTGGAACTTTGAAGACCCGTGGGGTGGAGCCCTAAGGTGAATTCCAAAAATCCAAGTAGCCTATAACCTTCTCACGCATATATAGAACAAAGAAAAGAAGTTTCATCGAAATCAGTGCTCTCGTTTTCCCGTGAAAAGCGAACAAAAACATGTCCGTGAGCGTTACCGACAGACAAACAGACAGACAGAAATTGAGATAAGGCTTGTTTCGGCTTCTCTGGTGTATGAAACGTGAAGATATGCAAAAAGTACACTATTCTAAGCAATGTACAGACAAAACTCTTATTTTATTTATGTAGATTTAGGACAATTAGCACAGAATAGCCCTTGAGTAATTTTGTGCAAAAATTCAACAAACTTAGTTAACTTCCCAATCAGACTTGTAGTGATGCAGCAGATAATGCATACAGTAATGATAAATTTATTAGAAATTGATGATAGATAAGACACTTTCACATTCATCGTTATTGTGTTTTTAATATAGGCTAATTGGTTTGGAAGATATGGTCAGTAATTGGGCTTTATGCATATATTTAAAACATTATTGTTTAAATGGACATAAGTTGTTTGCTCATTGATTACATTTATGGTAACTTAATGGAAAACTGAAAGCCTTGTTCAAAAACGTTTTTTATAACGATATTGTTACAAAACAACATTTTTCATGTGGTTGTGGTCCAGTGTCTGAGCCTTATTAAATTCTTTATACCACCTGGATATGTAGAAGTAATGTACATTGAACTGTAGATGTATTTTGTAGGACTGTATTTTGTTATACTTACAGGATATTATTGCTAATCATATGGTGGTATTTTCAGGTTAGGAAGGTCCGCTTTATAATGAAAGAATTAGTAGGATAAATTATGGAGTAAATCTAAATTTAACTATTAAGTTCAAACTATGAAATAAACAGACTGGACACAATGTGCAACACAAGATGAAAACAATTGTTGTACATTAAACAGATAAAAAACACAATATGTGTGCTTTCTTTCTGGACACTTGACAGTCTCCTTCTATTGGATTTGTAGATTGGTTAACAGATTTTCTTTCCTGATGATGTCTTTTCATCAACCAGCTCACTTAAGACCCTATGTAGGCAGTGCAAATCTAACGTTTTGTACTGATTATTCTCATTCAATGTAAGGTAGGCATTAATCTGTAGATATCATGTGCCCTACTAGTGAAGAACACTGCCTTTGTCTACATTCTTGCACAACTTGTAACATTATAAAAGTATCACTCGCGGGATGAGCAGGCATCTCGAGAGAACAACAAAGTATTGGAAGCTGTATTCTAGGGGATTTGACATCAGGTTTTCTAGTACATTCGAGATTATAAATACGGGACAGTTATGAAGATTGTTGATGGTAGAGTCATTTCTATCTGGTAGAGCAAATTAGTCAGTATTTTTTGTTGTTTTTCTTCAGCTGTGAAGTTTATTCTTTATTTTTTGTAGTGCAGTTAGCATCGTTTGTAAACATGGCCAACAACTGTGTGCAGTGAAGGCACTTTTTAAAGTGTTTAGTAAGAAATAAATTAATTTGTTATCATATACATAGACTGGAATTTAGATTATTTTCACTAGGTAATGTAAAAGAATCCTTCAAAAAAAGAACATCTTTGCAACACTGTATCAGAAGTGGGGTTATTTTGGTGAAAATGAAATATTAACATTGATTAAATTTCAACTTTTATTAAAGAAAACCATGACTACGAGAGCACAAACTGAGATAGGAAACCTACTAGACATGATAAAACAAGAGAAAAAAATAACAATTAGAAAGAGACAGAGCATATAAAGAAGACTAGGAAAAACGAGACAAAAAATTAGAAGAGATGAAAGAAGATCAAAAAGAACTATACAGAAAATTGAAAAATAATTATGAGGTAAAAGACAAAAATTTAAGAGAGGAGTTAAATGATAGAGAGACCTACTGCTTAAAGTAGAATTAAAATAGAAAATAAACCTGTCTGAAGACAAAATTAATAAAATTATTGGAGATGTACAGGGAGATTAGAAGAAGTACAGGAAGGCTGTAATGACAAAATCAATGAAGTCAAAAGTGAAGTAAAGAAAAACGTCAATGAGCTAGTAAAAATCATCAGTAACAGAATAAAACTTCTGAAACATGAATTAGTAGATAGAAAGATTAAGTTACCCACATTTATTTCTGTATCAGCTAAAGAGTTTCTACTGAAAATACCAACTACCAAATATGTAATAGGAGATATTGTTTGGTCTACATCTATTACCATTACTGCAAAGAACATTTCTGGACTACTTCAGCCATGAAATTTACCAAATCCAGTTCTGTGGAGATTGTGACGGGAAGGTACCATACTCAGTTCAAAATATTTTCCAGAGTGAATGGATGGAATAGTGAACAACA